CTCTCTCTCTCATTCTCACTCTCTCAAAATAAATAAATAAATCTTTAAAAAAAAAATAATACATTGGTACAGTAATACCCTCAAGAACTTAGAATCATTAGTCGTGATGGTACTTTTTGAAGAGAAGGCAAAGGACTTAACTATTTCATATGCTGATAAATGCTTCATATTTCCTTCCAAAGGTGTTTTAAGTTCTGCTGAAATCTAAGACCCTTCTCCCGCCTATTTCTTTACTAAAACAGAAATTGAAAAGATCAGATCTGAGATCATACCATCTGAGTTTAGTCTGTGTAATTTATTTTTGCTTCTTAATGCTGAAAACATTAAGAGAATGTAGCATGCAAGTTCACAATTTGGGTAGCCTTTTTCCTTTTATTCATTTTGCTTATTCTGCAACACAGTCCCCTACATATTTTAAGTGGGACAATGTGTTTCCATGACCCACAGAAGTTGAGTTCAAATCCAAGGAGATGAAGCGTTAAGAAGCAGACAGGACTGGCCTTGCACTGTAGACCCAGCGGGGGCAATGTGGGAGATCCATGCCTTGTACCTACAAGGAGCACATCATGAATATCTGTGGAAGTGAGGAAGGGAGGGGGAGGGAAGTGAGGGAGGCGGGAAAGAAGGTGGGGGGGCAGGAAGGAAGGGGAAGCAAAGAAGAAAAGATGGAGAAAGGAAAGGGGTGGAGAAAGGGGTCTAGTGAGAAATGAACCACAAATAACACTGATTGAGTGTCAAAGGATGGCCGGGAGGTTCCTGGGAGAGGGCCCTCCATTCAGAGCCCTCCATCTTTGGGTGTCTCTTGGCTACTTTTGGGCTGGACGCTGGGCTGGTATTCCATTTGGGGAGTTGCCCGCTTATTCAGAGCCTTCTGGGGATCAGAGTGGGGCACATCAACTTCTTCTTTTCCTAGCAAGTGTGAAGCCGGAGCCTCTTCTGCCATCCAGAAAGACCAAACTTCAGTGTTTCTGAGGGCTTGGAATGGGAAAAGGGAAGGCCCAGGCGACTGGTGCCAGGGACAGAGAAGAGAACTTTGCGAGGGCTTATGGTCTCTCTTAAAGGAGGCCAGCACCCAGGGTGTGCACCACGGGGGAGAACAGAAGTCATCAGACTGGATTTGCTTGATCTATATGGACAGCCAGCTGCCCCCACCCGGCCCCCCGATCAACATATACCTCCATGGTCTTGCGGTGGAGAAGGCCTTTGAGCAGGTGGAGGGCCCATCCTCTGCGCGGAATCCAGCTCTCATTTCATCTTGCCTGGGCAGGGGCTCTAGGGAGCCCTTCTCTCAGCAGCAACGCCTCCCTCCTGTCTATTCCCAAACATGCTCTCAGCTCTCAAAATTCAAAAGAGAAAAGGGAACTTTCTTGGCTCCCTACTTGTCCCTCCTGTTCCACTCGACTTCTGCTCCCCTTGACAATGAAAGGTCTCAAAACCATTGTCCACACTATGCTGTCTCCACTTGAATTCCAATTTCCTCTTCGGATCTGTCAAGTCCAAAACCAAGGTGATCTTTTAAAAATATCAATCAGACTGGAAATACTAGTCAGCAGTAAAAAAGAACGATGGATACATGCAACAATTTGGATGAAGCTCAAGAGAATTAAGCTGAGGGGGGAAAAAAGCCAATCCCCAAAGGTTACATACTGTATGATTCATTTACATAACATTCTAGAAATAACAAAATTATAGAAATGAAGGGCAGATTAATGCTTGCCAGCAGCGAAGGACCTGGGGGCCTAGGGCAGTGAGTATGGCTATAAGAGAGGAACAGGATGAAGACTTGTGATGATGGAACTCTTTTGCATTTTGATTGTGGTGGTGGATACATGAGTTTACACGAGGGATAAAACTGTATAGAATTAAACGCACACACCCATGAGTCCAAGTAAAACCAGGGAAACCTGAGTAAGAGCAGTAGATTGTACATTAGTACAACATTGACACTAGTCAATATTGTGGTTGTGATCTTGTTCCATTGTTCTGCAATGGGGTAAGCTGTACATAGCATCTCTCTGTAAAAGTGTTTACAAATGTATGTAAATTTACAATTATTCCAAAAGAAAAAGAAATATAAATGAGATCTTGTCATGCCCCGGGATAAAGCCATTCATTCAATGGCCTCCCATTGTTTTTGGAATAAAACGGTCTGCCCATCACCTAGGACGCAGTAGGAGATCCGGTCCCTGCCAACCTGTCCTGTCCAGCTTTATACTGTGCTTCTCTCCCGGGCTCTGCTGGTGCCAGTCAGTCACCACCTCTTAATTCTAAGGCATCAATATTTGCCTCCTTCTGGCCTTCATACATCTGCTCCCTCTTTCCGGAAGGCTTTTCCTTGGCTTTTTCTATGGTTGCTTCTGTCGTAACTTTCAGGGCTCCTTTTAAATGTCACCTCCTCCTTTCCTAATCATACAATTTGCAACCTCTTCTTCTTCTCCTGCACAGGCCTTAGCCCAAATCCGATTATTTTCTCCCTTCTTTATCATCGGTCTCCCCCACTACATTGCAAGCCCCCAGGGCAGGGTGGATGGTGCTTCGCATGACTCTGCGCTGTATCCCCAGCACCTGGCACAGTGCTTGGCACGTGGTGAGGGCTCAGTAAACCAAATGTCGAGTGAATGAGTAGCCTCGTGCCGCTTTGCCATCAGTGCTTTTCTGAGTGCGGTAAAGCCCTCTGGATGGATGGAGAGCTCCTTTCGCTCCCACCAGCTTGTTACTAAGCGGAAGGGTCACCGGCGGCGTTCCGGCCCACGGGGTTCCGCAGTCTGGCGCCGAAACCGGGCGCATCCCGGACCCCGGCCGCTTTGCAGGGAGTGCGCAGGTTAGCGGAGGCCCCTGGTGAGGACACCTTCGCTCGACTCTCTTTGTTGCTCCCACCTCCCCTGCCCTGGCCGCGGCTGCCTGCAGTGACTCGTGACTCCCCGCCGGCCTCGAGGGCTGCAGCGCGAGGGAGGGGGGCGGGGGCCCGGGCGCCCCCGGCCCGCCCTCCCCTCGGTCTCCAGACCAGTGCCGCCCCTCGGGGGAGGCGGGGGG